TACATACATACATACATACATACATACATACATACATACATACATACATACATACATACATACATACATACATATATATATATATATATGTATAGTTGTATATCTATCATCTGTATATGCGTAAATGTTTCTAAGGGGTTGCACGCATGAATATTTTCAGAATGTTGCTCTGTTATCTTCGTGTATCTTTCTCCCTATCTCTATTTATCTATCTATTTATCTATCTATCTATCTCTTTCTGATTCCCACCCCGTTCTGTAATTTTTTCTTATACAAGGTGCGTGACATAACCATGGAAAATACGATTACTCTCGACCTTTCCTATTAAACTCGCCTCCTATTCTAACCGCGAAATTTAATTTTTCACGCTTGTCTATAACTCGTAATCCTTTTCTTTTTTTATTTCTATTTCGTTTCTTTTTTACGGTAGTAGATTAATCTATTAAATGTTTTTCATGGAGAAAGGGTGAGGGGTGGATAGGATGACGAATTTATTATTTAATTTTATGACTGTTATTTTAAATGGTAATATCAATTTCATTGTAAGATTTGAATGCATCCTATATGTGTGTGTTTGTGTGTTCATTCATTTTTATCTCATAGTTAAACAATTCCTTCGATTTAGTATACAAATTGTATCTCTGTAATTGTTATATATTGTACAATTAGATAAAATAGTATAAATACTTTTAACATTCATCCATAGTCAACATTTGACGTTTACAATACGATTCAATTCCTCACTCAAAATTCGTTTCCTTTTTTACAGTCCAACATGTCAAAAAGCAAGAGAGAGATAAAAAGAGAAAGAGAAAAGTTTCCAACGAACGAGATAGACCATGCTCGACCGCAATTCTTTTCACACTCGGTAGACATCTTTTCCGCCATCTTTCTTGCTAATTATACCGACTCGCCTTTCTGCCGGGCGGCGTTCTTCTCAAATCCAACCAACCCAACCCCCATTCCTCCACCCCCTTTTTTTCTACTGACACAACCACGAAGCTTCTTTTTTCTTTCTTTTTTTTTCTTCATCCTTCCCTTTTTCTCTTCTTTCTTTCCTCCTTCTCTTTCTCTCTCGTTTCTCTTCTTACAAACCGCGACTTCGCAGAAGTCTCCATGAAATATTCAAACGACCACCTCCATCTAACCACCCCAACCCCCCAGCTCCCTTTCTCCTCCATCCGCCAACGACAGTCTTTATTCTCATAGTGAAGTTTTACCGTGGCACGACTTTGTATCTATGGATTTCAAGCGTGACCACCCGGAACTGCTCTGTGATCGTCATAAACCAGAAAAAGAACTGAGAAACTTTTCTCTTTTCTATTATCTTTTTTTTATTTTTATTATCGTTCGTTTTCCTTTATTTTGTTGCTTTACGAAAAAGATAATCGCGATTAGCATAAGTGAGCCGAAGAGACACGTGACACAACCCACCCCTCCCCTATTTGTGATGACAGTTTTTACAAAAAAAAATTGTACATTAATGTTATATGGACCGTATTATTTTAGTTAAATTCCTTTAAAGAAGAAATTTGTAATAATCATATTACATATCATCATAAATTAATAGAAACATTGTCAGAATTGACATAATAAATGTATATTTTTCAATTGACTAATATATTAAACTTTAATTTTTTTGAAACAAAAAAAAATGGACTTACACCATTTTCAAAATAAACGATTCATATGTTAATTGTAATTACTTACTTTGATAAAACGTTTAGCCTTGGTCAAAAGACCCAACGTAGTGTGTCTTGAAGTTTCTGGACCCAACGGTACTAACATCTTCAGCTTTTCGAGACAATTTCTTAAATGGGCCCTCCTGTAACACAAAATTAAATTCCCGATTATAATTATTATTGAAATTTTAGTAGTTTCTTATATTTAATAATTTGATATAATTATTGAATTTATTGATAACGAAATTCATCGACGATTCATCATTAATTTTATTTACAATTTTCTTTCTTATGTTTTCTATTTTTTAAATTTATATCTATTTTATTTTGTAGATTACAAAATTTATTTCTTGTTAAGAATAGAACTGATTCCATTTTAATAAAAAAAACAAAAAAATATACAATAATATAATAATACTAAATTTTCCAATTGATTTATCTAAAAATTTACTTAAAGATCAAATAAATTATTTCTTTAATTATGAATAAAATTGTTTTCATAACAGATTTTGTGAACTATTGTGGACAATTTTCGTATATCATTAAAATAAAAATATATTGTACATGACAATTGATAATTTAACTGCTAAAAAATTCTACTTTGTAATTTTTTTTTTCAAATTTTTTTTTCGATTATTCATAAGTAAATATATTTAAGAATACGCTCTGAAAATTTCAAAAAGATCAGAGCATTCTAATTGTACTTTTCCGTCCCTCGAATCTACCCGTGCGCGTTAATCTGTTGCGCGCGGTGAACCTACTCATACTACTTTACTTTGTTTGTTCGATCAACTGCGTACTATTATAAATCTCTTATTTCTGCCTATCTCTTTATTATTTTCGGTAAATAAATGATATTTTGTAGACGTAAAAACTATTATTCACTCCACGGTATGGGCCATGGCACCTAAACACATTTTCAATGGAAAAAATATTGTCAAAATTGCATGCCTTACTGCGGCATGCATATTTAATGAAGGTTTTTAAACAATTTTAAAAATTATGGAGGTAATGGGCATTACAATCGGCGAAACCGCTGCTCAGTATGCCAGTAAACGAGACAACGAGCGCGTTGTCAAAGAAAATCGCCGCTCGTCTGAAGCTTCCAAAAAGAGCAGAACAAAAAAAAGACAAGCTAGACTTGAAGAACATTATCTTCTAGAGCAGTCAGAAGGCATACTGTATGGTGCAGGTATCGCTGATTAAGAATAAGTTAACGTTTTTCGTGATTTTTTTACTTAAAAAAACTTTAAATGCTTTTTTCTCGGAATCACGTTTTTATACCGCGTGTTGTAAAAATTTCGATTCGTCTGAAATTTTTACCACATAATCTATACACATATATCAACCGCTGGTAGCAGATTTATAAAAAAATTTTCATTTTTATTATTTTTTTTTGGGCAAAAAATAAGAAAGAAAAAAAGAGATTTTTTGATAATTTTTTTTCAACTGACGCCATTTTGTTATTTTTGTTTGTAAATGAAAAAATCTGCTACCAGCGGTTGCTGTAGTCTTTGTGAACATAAAACTATTCGAGTTTTTCATTTCAGATAATCCGATGTCAAGATTTTTACAACACCGCAAAGGCTAGTCTATTTTTAGGCTTTCAGTTCAAGGGCCTCTCCAATGTATATAGAGCGTATAAAATAAATAAATAAAATTTTTTAATATACTTTAAAAGTATATTTATTAAGCACAACAAACTCTACATCAATATCTTTCTTAGTTTTCTAATAAAAAATTAACAAAAATACCTTTTTTCTCGAGCGACTAAAGTAGAATCCTGCTTTAATTTAAAAATATTTAATAGGCCAAAAAAACAAATACTACCTTCTTGCAACTATGTTTAACATAAATTTCGTCTACAATAAAAAAAAGAAGGTGGACAAAAATTGATGAATAAAATCAAGATGAATAAATCCAAAATTAAAAAAGAAAAAAAAGGAAGATAGAAGAAAGGAAAAATAATTTTGTTTAAAAATTTGTCTTCTTTACTCGAAATAGGAGACACGTATTATAATACACATAATGTATGTTACGTATACACGAGAAAAGGTTCGTGTAAAGTATATATATATATATATATATATATAGAAACGAACCCTAGCATTTTTCCTTCTTTCTGTGCCAGCATTGAACCCCTTTCTCTCCCCCTTCCTCACCCCTTCTTTCCTTTGGCGTTTTGTCGAGTCGACGAAAATTTATCGTAGACCAAAACGTAGATATAAAACGTCGTCCATTTATAACCAATATCGAAGCCAGAATTCACTTTGAAAGAATAAGAGAAAAAGACAGAGAGAGAGAGAGAGAGAGAAAAAAAAGAAAGAGAAAGGAAGAGAGAAGAAAGGTGGAGAAATATTTCGGAACACCGTTTGCGTGAACATTTCTCTTCCTCTATTCTGATTATATTTATTGTATTCAAAAGAATTCATTCGACTAATGGTAGAAGCTTTTCGCACAATAATAGATACACGAGTGGATATTTCTTAAAAAGAAACTACAAAAAAAATATAAAAAAAGAAAGAGAGATAAAGATAGGAAGAAAAAAAATATGATATTCCAAAGTTTTGATGCAAATGATCTATAAATCTCTATTACGAACATTAAATTTAAATTATAAATGTATATATTCATGAATAATATACAAAAAAAATTTTTTTCTGATATTGAAAAGGAAATAAATTATCTTCAAAGAAAGATACGTATATACTTCAAAGAAAATGCATTAATTTTTATTTCACCAAAGAAATATATATATATATATATATTATCATATTTTTTTTCCATTTAATAATTGATACTAAATTTCCGCGATACTAGGAAAGAAATAAATTTATCTTCAAACAAAGATAATCTATGAATATTTCAAAGAAAACACTTTTATTTGAATTGATAAAATATTTTTTCAATTTTTTTCCCTTTTAATTACTGATACCAAATTTAATTATGATATACCAAAAGAGAAATAAATTATCTACAAACAAAAATATAATTCAAATAAATCACGTTAATTTACATTTACGAAATATATATATAAATTACTAACAAACAAAAAAATAATACAGAACTGGAAAATATTTTATAAAAAAAATTACAATTTTCTAACGCTTTCGAGATAAATAACGTGTTTTTGAAAGTTCTAGTATAAACCTTGATGTACCTTATACACACATACGTACACATAAATACACATATACATATAGAAAAAATAGGAATACATAATTCCCGTACATTTGCCATATTCCGTCTGCATTTATCGCGAGACCGTAAAGGATAACGAAAAAGAGAAAAAGATAAACAGATAAATAGATAGATAGAAAGATAGTAGTGGTTGTGAATAAAAGGACGATTCGTTCGACTAATGGTCCGTGATCGCCGCGATAATCCGGATCTTATCGCTTTTTCCGCAACTTTTTTACCGCCTTCCGTTCTCCCCCTATGAAAGAAAAAAAAAATAAAAGAGAGAAAAAGATACAGATAACGTAAGGGTAATAACATCTTTCTCTCTTTTTTTCTCTTTCTTTCTCTCGAACAACCTTTTTCAACTATAAGATTCACGAAGTCACGTGAATTCTTCGTATAGAGAAGAAATAACACGAGCACGCGCTCACACACACTCATAGAAATATACATACAAATATATACAAGGTGATTCACCAGATCTTGCCACCTAAATAGCTCCGAAAGTATGATAGTAGTAAAAAAAGAGAATAAAAAAAAAGTTGCATGAAAAATTTGGGATTACAATATGACATTAGTATTTCTTTGCTAGGTTGAGCCATTTTCAAGATTTATTGGTCAATTTTATTTTTTTAAATACAATGTTATATTTTAATACTTATTTTTGGATAGCGGCTAACAAGACGAATCCAATGATGTATAACAAAAATATTTTGGAAGGTCAACGAATGTGAAAACTTGCGAACAAGCCGGCCATAATACAGCTATTCCTTATCATGATCACGTCAAGGTTGCGTCAGGGTTGTGTCATCCTTCAGTTGTTCTGACAACGGACGGAACAGATATTTTTCGAATAGTTTTTATTGATCATTGTCAGGTTTTGTATTTAATGTTGCAAATCATTGGATCCGTCTTGTCAACCGATATCCAAAGAAAAGTATTAAAAGATAACATTGTATTTAAAAAAACAAAGGTGACCAATATATCTTAAAAATAACTCAATCTAGCAAAAAAAAAATACTAATGTCATATTTCAGTCCTGAATTTTTCATGCAACTTTTTCTGCATTCACTTTTCTTCTACTGTCATATTTTCAAAGCTATTTAGGTGACAAGAACTAATGAATCACCATGTACATTATATATATAAAAGAGGTTTAGGATTTTATCAAATATTCCTATCTTCATCCTCCCGTTTCCAGAGTTACTCGCATCAGAAACTGTTTGTTCCTTTTCGTAGAACACTACCCCACATACTACTACTATTACTACCACTACTACTACTAAAAGTAAGTTCGCGATAGTGGGTAACCTTCTGGTCCATTCATCGCGAGTACGTGATGCGAAAAGCAGATGGCGAGAAAGTTTCTCGTAATTCGAAGCCAGGTCGCGAATTATTATGAAATTAAATGGCGAGCATCGAACCGTACCCCTTACCTTCTTCCCACCACGAATAAACTAACCTTTAATCCCTCCTCCCGTTATTCAAACGGGATACCACTTCCACCCATAACAACCAACGATCTTCTTTCTAAATTTCACTTTTTATTTTTTAGTTTTTCGTTATTTTATTACATAAAATAATAATACAAACGATTCATGAAAATATTTATTTTTATGTTAACTCTTCTTTCAAATAAACATGTCACCATAAAGCTTATTTTAATCGATTGCCTATATTCAAATGTACTAAATACATTTAAATGTATTTCAATTTTTATTTGAATATATAATATGAATTATATAATATTTATATAATAATTCATAATATATTTTTAAAAAATAAAATTGAAAAATTTGTACAACATTTTCTTTTTCTCTCTTTTTCTCTCTCTCTTCCATTATGAGTCCTTTTTCCAGGACATCCAGCTGATGCAACTCTTACGAACCCGACAGGGTTTCCGAAACATTTTTGTCCTTTAATAGAACCTCGAAGAGACGAATTGTGAAAGAGAGATAGAACT